ACTCACCTCCTTCATCTGCATCAACCATCTCAATTTCTTCTTCTTCCTCATCCTCATCTTCGTCATGTTCCTCTCCTACCAACTCCATTACATTATCGTAATCTTCATCATTCTCTCGTTCGTCTATGAACGAGTTCTTCTTCAAATTTTCTCTGTTTAAACTCCGAATAGCCTTTGTCGGCCGGCCAGCCTCGAAAACGCCTTTTGGCCTTCGACAAACAGCTACTTGCTCATAGTGAGAATCTCGAGAAGCCTAAAGAAGAATGCAGATTTCCAAGCATATTGGGATAACAGAAAGAATTAATGAGTAACGAAGTTTTGAATTAGGTAATCACTAGTTTTCAAAATTAATACCCCAAATATATCGAATGATTTTAAAATAATGTAGAAAACATGTAGAAAACGGAGAACAAAATGTCATATAAGGTACTTATTTGAACCCGGTGCCTGTGGACTTCGAACAAAGGACTGCAATATTCACGAGCATCTAAATTAGTCCACGAGCCCCCTTTATGACTATCCCTAAGCAAAAAAACATCAAAAATAGATTATTCGATAAGTAATTATCATTGCGTACAAACCTATAAACATTATCCTCATTATAAATGCATTATAAAAGGATAATTTAATCCTATTACGATAAGCATATGTGAAAGGATGAGTTATTAAAATAGCCACAAAAAGACTAGTCGGTTAAAGGATGGTGATAGCAAACTTTGACAGCAAAGCTTCAAAAGTGATTCTCATTATAGACATTTTATCCGGCCAGGGATGCTAGCAGACATCAAGGCCTATAGTGTTTCAGAAGAACAATTAAAATAGGCACATTATAACCCCGGTTGACACTTAGAAGTAATCTCAGAGAGATTCAGCCACCTTCTAAAGACAACTCATATCTACTCAAGATTATGCACTGGTAGCCAGATGTCATACGCATTCAGGACAGTCAGACAGAGACTGGCCAAAGCTTTCGTTTCAACTAGGCTTCAGGTTCTGCACGCAGAAAACAATTACAACCGAAAGAGGTATTTAATTCAAATTTGACATACTTATCTACCTAAACTAGTAGAAATAAAAAGAAGTTAATGATATTATGAAAAAGAATTCCTTATTGATATATTGTAAAATGACTTTGCATTTCAGAGGAAAGGTTGGTTGGAAAGAATTACAGAAAGAAGACTCAGCATAAATATTATTAATGAAAAATAAGACATTTATTCTGGCTTCAATGTCAAATGAGATAAAAATGAGACAATTAAAATCAGATAAAGAGCTAATTAAGACAATGCTAAGTAAGGGACAAGGCTAGAGGTTAGGTACTAAATAATGCGTTTCACCTGGCCTTGCTTTCCTGTAATAGACACATTTTCATTGTCCAAAAGAGGTGGCGAAGTGCGCCCACTCGTGCTCTCACTGTCCTCTTCACCATCCTCGTCTTCGAATTCGCCAATGTCAATGGGAATTATGCCATCTGGGCAGACACAAAAGAGCATAAAAGTAAAATATAGGTGCCTAAGACTTTTATAGTATTCTTGTTTATTGAATTTAGGAAAAT